ATATTTTAGCATCGTTCTACGTACATGTAGGTACTTAATGTATTAATTATTTTCCAGGGAATATTCATGAAAAAAGTAACAGCTGAGTTACAATAATAGAAATATAAATATATAGATAATTTTTGCAATGAAATAATTATTCTTCTAACACGATATCTAAGTTATTTAATTAAAAAACATGTAAATACTTACCATCAAAAAGATAAGTCCTTTCACTTCGGAGTTCCGAATGACAATAAAGACTGAACGATAAGTGAACGGTGAACGCAAGGTGAACGCAAAGTAAACGGAACGAAGAGCGAACGGTGAACGTTTTGTGAACGGTGAACGCGAGCGCACGGTAAACGGTGAACGCAATACTGTGAACGAAGAGCGAACGGTGAACGCATGCTGAACGAACGGTGAACGAACGCTGAACGAACGGTGAACGAACGGTGAGCGAACGGAAAAATGGGAAAGTAGAACGTTTCAGGGACTGTAACTTTGTATCTACGAAACAAATCTGTCTATATATCAGAGACTGTTCTGATATTAGAAACAAGCTTACAATAGTATAATATTTTGTAATACATGTATATGGCTAACAACACATTCCTGTATATAAATATGTGCTTTAGTGCCAATAAAGAATTGAATTGAATTGAATAAATAAGGAAAACGAAAGAAGACAACTCTTGCATTTCACATACCGTGTCAATTATATTCCTATGTGTCTCACAATAACACAACAATTTTATGAAATTTCAGATAAAATTAACTAACTCGTACTTAGGTTATATTCTAAAATTATTTTGATCTTGCATTCCTTTATTATCTGCCTTTTATTTGCTGCTGTACATTTTCCTCGGAAAGATGTTATCTCTGTAAGAATTCTGCATTTTTTTAAACATTCATTAAAAGCCCAATTTGAGAAGGGATTGCTGATATGGAATCAGTGCATCATACTCTACACGATGAACATAAAAAACTGACAATTTTTTGACTCCTTAAAAATTATTGGGCATTGCCACTACAGTTACTTATTTCAATCTGAAACAGTGAAGAATTAGCCTTAACAATCTGTATTGAATACAAAAATATTTAAAAAGTGGAAGCAGTATCTTTATACAAAATTAATATAAAGAAATTTTCATCTATACTGTGTTGGACGCTATTATAGGCTTTCGAGAAAATTCGAACTGTTTATTTCAAAGTTCTCAGCATAACATATACAATAAAAAAACAAAACGACATTTAAACCAAGTGCTGACAATTTATTACTTCGTATTAAATGCAAAAATTTTATCAACACCATCCAAACCAACTTTTTCTTCGTACGTAGCTCCTTCATCATAACGAAGCCAATATTTCTACGCTAAAACAAAGCTGAAAGGAATCTAATATCAAAAAGAGTCCGATTTATTAGCAAAAGCACGTAATATTCCGTGTTTAGAAACCTTGACAATCGTAACACTGAAACCCACCATTCGTACTGCAAAATCTTAGACCTGAAAATAAAGGTAAATGGTTGCAGACTAATCTGATCAGCACGCTGTGTAATGGAGTCTATCTTCTTCCAGACGACCGTTCCTGCGCATGCGCGGAAGTTCTAATGGTAGGCCTAAACACCGGATTGATTAACTGGCACAATAAAATATTTTTCGCGTGCATAAAAGCGTGAAATAAAAGATATTGTTTTAAAACATGACACATAAACATTTCTCACATATATTTTCATTGTACATTGTGACAAAAATACTTCTTCAAATTTGAATATATGTTTATAGGCCTATTTGTGCAGTTTATATTCTCCCTCACTTCGTTCGTCCGAATATAAATTAATGAAGTGCTAAATGAATAAAACACAACACATGTTAAGTAGGAATGCTGCTCGCTAGTGCTTTTATTCAATTCTAATACATAACCACTTTATGAAACCAACTGTATAGCCCAACTTCATTACACTCCATTGCCTTACTATCCTCCATATTTCTTACAATCTTTAAATCCTAGCGAGCAAGCTTAGAGTGCCGTGCTACCGCATGGCCTTACTATTTATACCCTAAATAACCACGTGACTTCAGAAGAAAACTTTTCGAACACATACCGCACATAATTTTAATTAACTTAGCCCCAACCTGAGGCCCTGACCCAGGAGATAAACTAGATAGGGGGCATAGATTTATCAATTTTGGTCAAGAACTCATTGATCAATAAAATCATAAAACATACAACCTCCTTGAAATTTGAGACTTAAATAAAAGATGACCTAAGGTAATGCATTTTCATCATTCACATAGCCAACCTTGACCCCACCCTACAGCCTGAACCCTGAGCCCAAGGGCCATGAATTTCACAATTTTGGTAGAGCGCTCAATGCTGATTATAGTTATGCCAACAGTTTGACTGCCTTGTGTCCAGGAGTAAAGAAGAAGATTTTCAAAGATTGCATTAATTTTAGTGGTTTTGGCCCCACCCCTCGGCCCCCAGGGGAGCTGGGACCATGAAATTCACAATTTTTCTTCCCCTCTACCCATAGATGCTTTATACCAAAATTGGTTTCTTAGAATTGGTTGAGTGGTTGCAGAGAAGAAGCTGAAAATGTTCAAATGTTAACACACGACGAACGACGCACGACGACGGACGAAAACGGATAGCAATAGGTCACCTGAGTTTAGTGACCTAAAAATGTTGGCCTAACCTTGAAGTGCTGGTGTTCTGAACTTGACACTAACAAAGTATACATTTTAGGCCATAAATAATTAATAAATAGATTCTCAGGCCAAACATTTCAAAATTCAATGCGGCAGGCAGGTTTTTTTTTTTTTTTTTTTTTAAGCAGGTACATGTATCTTTTTTTCATTTCTGTCGTTCAACAAAATGATGATAATAACTGACTCTCACTTTTTTGTTCTCTTAATATACTAAATATTATGTACTCAACTTAAATTGTTATTCTATAATTTCTTCAAAAGTTAATTAATAAAGAACTGTATAAACTAGAAGAATGTGGTTCATATAATAAAAATGTCTATCTATTATTGTTATGAAAAGGGAAATAACTCAATTTTCTTTTTCATCTTGGAAAAATTGAAAAATTGAGTTATTTCCCTTTTCAAAATGTCAATACAATTGATCAATGCAGCCGTTTTTGACCTGATGTGGCAGCGCCTGAGAAACTACTGATTAATTTTTTTGGCCTTATTGAACATATTTTTTCTAGTTAACAACAAATTAAAAACACCCGTGATATCTTTCATAGTTTCTAATGTTTACATTTTATTCATAAGAACATTTGTTTTTTGCACTCCATGGACATGATCATAGATTTCCGAAACCACGTGGATTCCATATTGTGGCCCTACCCTAACCCTGGGGATCATGATTTGAACAATTTTTAGGATCTACACTACCCCAGGATACTTCCACATAAGTTACAGCTTTTCTGGCAAAGTAGTTCTTGAGAAGAAGATTTTTTAATGACCCCACCCTATTTTTGTCTTTTCTTGATTATCTCCCCTTGGAAGAAGACTTGGCCCTTCATTTTAAGAATTTAAACTCCCATTCACCCAATGACGCTTTGTACCAAGTCTGGTAAAAATTGGCACAGTGGTTCTTGACAAGAGGTCGAAAATGTGAAAAGTGTACAGACGGACAGCTAGACAGATGGTCGGACAGCTAGATGAATGGACAAAGGAAACTAGAAGTCTCTGTCGAGACTGTAGCTCTACTGGTTTGTACTTATCAAAAACCATTGCACTATTTTATGTATCTTAGTGTAGTCTACTTGTGTGCCAAGTTATATTGAAATCAGACCAAAACTGTAGAAGAAGTAGCGTTTTAAAGGAATTTCACAGAAAATTTTATTTTTAGTAACCATGGCAACACTGTTCATCGAAATCAAAAACCGATGCACTATTCTATGTATCTTCGTGTAGTCTACTTGTGTGCCAAGTTATATTGAAATCAGACCAAAACTGTAGAAGGAGTAGTGTTTTATAGGAATTTCACAGAGAATTCTATTTTTAGTAACCATGGTAACACGGTTCACCAAAATCAAAAACCGATGCACTATTCTATATATGTATCTTCGTGTAGTCTACTTGTGTGCCAAGTTATATTGAAATCAGACCAAACTGTAGAAGGAGTAGCGTTTCAAAGGAATTTCACAGAAAATTCTATTTTTAGTAACCATGGCAACACCGTTCATCGAAATCAAAATCCGATGCACAATTCTATGTTATTAATGTAGTCTACTTGTGTGTCAAGTTGTATTGAAATGAGACCAAAACCGAAGGAGGAGTAGCGTTTTAAAAGAATTTCACAGAAATTTCTATTTTTAGTAACCAAGGCAACACCGTTCATCGAAAGTAAAAACCGATGCAATATTCTATGTATCTTAGTGTAGTCTACTTGTGTGCCAAGTAATATTGAAATCAGACTAAAATTGTAGGAGGAGTAGTGTTTTGAAAAATTGTTTACAGACAGACGGACAGACAGACGGAGGGACGCCAGACGCATTACTATCGCATAAGCTCTTCTGGTCTCTGACCAGTAGAGCTAAAAATGTCAGAAAAGCTCACTTGAGCCTTTGGCTCTGGTGAGCTAAAAAAGGATTGAATGAGAAAAAGTAGAAAATGTGAAAAGTTTACAGATGGACAGACAAACAGACGGACAACGGGTGATCAGAAAAGCTTACTTGAGCTTTCAGCTCAAGTGAGCTAATTCAAAGGCTAGTGAAAGTTCAATATTGCTAGTAAAAAAAAATTCCACCAGCTAAAATTTGCTAGTGGTCAAAAAAGTTACTTTTGATTCCTGCTACTTATCGATTATGAAACAAGTCGGTGACATCGCTGATACAAATAATAAGGGTTTATTTGGGTGTAAAATTTTGTCAGTGATGATGGCGACTTTTTTTAAAATTCTCAATTAGTAGTATTGAAGATGTCCAAAAGATCGACAATCAATTGTTGGCAACAATCAGTTCATCACTAGTACTTATCATATCAATCATACCTCACAAAATGATTTCTTTTTCCATTAAGGGTTTTCTCCTGATACAGAGGATATCAGCTTTTGAGGACATCGTTTTCCCTCTGATCATGGATTTTTCAACTCCAATATGAGAATGATTCCTGAAAATATAAGACAACAGAGAAATAGAACAAACCTACAACCCCTTACAGAAATTTCTGATAAGTGACTTATAAGTGATTTATTCTTTTAACAGTGTTTTATTTGAATTTGGAATTATTTTGATTATTGGATTTGGGGTTTTCAAGAAGAAAACCCTTAGTTAGACTAACTTGGACAACTAACAAGAATTTCTACTGTTTGTTGTGTTTAGAACGACTAACTCAGACAACTAACATGAATTTTCTCATAAATATTGGGTAAGTTCATACTATCTTTGACAACTGCTATGAGTTTTCTTCATAATAACTGGCTAAGTTGAAACTCAAGGAATGATTTCAACATCCCTGTCATTCATACCTTAATTTTTGTTAAAGTCATTTTAAATTTTATTTTAAATATCCATTTGATTAAATATTAGGGCTCCAAAGATGACAGTGCTTCATTATTGTAAATGGGAACCCATCAAAACCCAGTGGATGAATGTGGCGATTTACACTGCAGACCTTGAGTGCAGAACAGTAACCAGCAACTTTTAGATATTTCCGTAACGGATCATCTTCAATCCACCCCAGTGCCCCCCCAAAAACAAGAGGCCCATGGGCCACATCGCTCACCTGAGTAGCTTTGGTCGTTCTTTTTTTTAACAGATTTCCCCTTGAAATACCCATTGTGACTAAACCCTAACCCCCTGGGTCCTGGTTTGAACAGTTAGAATCTACAATACTTTAGGATGCCTCCACATAAGTTTCAGCTTTTCTGGCCCAGTGGTTCTTGAGAAAAAAATTTTCAAAGATTTTTTCTATATATTTCAATGTAAAACTTGGATTCCCTATTGTGTCCCTGCCCTACCCCTTGGGGTTATGTTTTGAACAATTACGAATCTTTACTACCCAAAGATGCTTCCACATAAGTTTCAGCTTTTTTAGGCCAGTGGTTCTTGAGAAGAAGATTTTTAAAAATTTTCCTATATTTTTCAATGTAAAACTTGGATTCCCTATTGTGGTTGGGTCCTGATTTTAACAATTTAGAATCTACACTATCCCAAGATGCTTCCACTTAAATTTCAGCTTTTTTGGCCCAGTGGTACTTGAGAAGATTTTTTTAATGATCCCATCCTATTTTTGTCTTTTCTTGATTATCTCCCCTTGTAAGGGGACTTGGCCCTTTATTTTAACAATTTTAACTCCCCTTCACCCAAGGATACTTTGTACTATGTTTGGTTAAAATTGGCCCAGTGGTTCTTGAGAAGAAGTTGAAAATGTGACAAGTTTACAGACGGATGGACGGACAGCTTAGCTAACTTGAGCCTTTGGCTCAGGTGAGCAAATAAAAAGCACAATTTTTGATAAACTTTTTTTAATCTGAAAGTAAACCCCAAACAGTCATTTAACAAGAAAACATTGAAATAACCATCAATTTTCGCCCAGGAAATATATCAAGTAAACTATGGAAATGCCTCTTAATCATCAAAGTGAAACCCCTTGATATGTGTGAAAAGGCATGCGTCTAATTGATGGAGACGATAGTAGCGAATATTTGGAAAACGTATAGTCGGATATATGTCAAACAAAATCGATGCCATTTTAAACGTCAATTCCTCGATTTGGCTGCATAAAATATAAATTGAAGTTAGACACATGCATCACCTATATCCAAACATAGGTAATCAGAGATTACAGAGCTCACCTCAACGAATGTTGTCTTTAAATAAGGCAAAGTCACATAATTAACCAACAAAAAGTGTACATTCCAAAAATGAAAATATTCATGCAATTTTGGTCTGATACTTTGAAATAGACCTATAATATAAAAAATTCAAACTAGTTCTTCATGAAAATGTAATTAAAATCCAGCATCTGAAGCAAATTTGAGAGTTTTCATCCCTTGATGCATCATTTGTGCAAGTTTGGTTTATACAATGTTATATATAAGCCTTATAGCTTTTTGGTAATAGACCTGCACCCATAACTTTTACCTGGTCCATTATCTGAAAAATGTATGTTGAATTCAGCATCCGAAGCAAGTCCATTAGTGTGCATCCTAAGATATATCATCCATGCAAGTTTGGTCATTAAAGAACTCATAGTTACTTGGAAATGAATAATGCACCAAAAACTTTAACCTGTTTACTCAACCGGAAAACGTAGGTCAGATTCAGCATCTGAAGCAAGCCTGGTTGTATGCATCCTTAGACATATCATCCATGCAAGTTAAGTCATTATAGGGCTCATAGTATATTAGAAATGAGACCTGCACCAAAAACTTTAACCTGTTTACTCAACCGGAAAACGTAGGTCAGATTCAGCATCCGAAGCAAGCCTGGTAGTATGCATCCTTAGATGTATCATCCATGCAAGTTTGGTCAACATAGGGCTTATAGTTACTTGGAAATGAAACCTGCACCAAAAACTTTAACATGCTCACTCAACCATAAATGTAGGTCAGATTCAGCATCTAAAGCAAGCCTGGTTGTATGCATCCTTAGACGTATCATCCATGCAAGTTAAGTCATTATAGGGCTCATAGTATATTAGAAATGAGACCTGCACCAAAAACTTTAACCTGTTTACTCAACCGGAAAACGTAGGTCAGATTCAGCATCCGAAGCAAGCCTGGTAGTATGCATCCTTAGATGTATCATCCATGCAAGTTTGGTCAACATAGGGCTTATAGTTACTTGGAAATGAAACCTGCACCAAAAACTTTAACATGCTCACTCAACCATAAATGTAGGTCAGATTCAGCATCTAAAGCAAGCCTGGTTGTATGCATCCTTAGACGTATCATCCATGCAAGTTAAGTCATTATAGGGCTCATAGTATATTAGAAATGAGACCTGCACCAAAAACTTTGACCTGTTTACTCAACCGGAAAACGTAGGTCAGATTCAGCATCCGAAGCAAGCCTGGTAGTATGCATCCTTAGATGTATCATCCATGCAAGTTTGGTCAATATAGGGCTTATAGTTACTTGGAAATGAAACCTGCACCAAAAACTTTAACCTGTTCACTCAACCAGAAAATGTAGGTCAGATTCAACATCCGAAGCAAGCCTGGTAGTATGCATCCTTAGATGTATCATCCATGCAAGTTTGGTCAACATAGGGCTTATAGTTACTTGGAAATGAAACCTGCACCAAAAACTTTAACATGTTCACTCAACCAGAAAATGTAGGTCAGATTCAGCATCCGAAGCAAGCCTGGTAGTATGCATCCTTAGATGTATCATCCATGCAAGTTTGGTCAACATAGGGCTTATAGTTACTTGGAAATGAAATATGCACCAAAAACTTTAACCTGTTCACTCAACCAGAAAATGTAGGTCAGATTCAGCATCCGAAGCAAGCCTGGTAGTATGCATCCTTATATGTATCATCCATGCAAGTTTGGTCAACATAGGGCTTATAGTTACTTGGAAATGAAACCTGCACCAAAAACTTTAACATGTTCACTCAACCAGAAAATGTAGGTCAGATTCAGCATCCGAAGCAAGCCTGGTAGTATGCATCCTTAGATGTATCATCCATGCAAGTTTGGTCAACATAGGGCTTATAGTTACTTGGAAATGAAATATGCACCAAAAACTTTAACCTGTTCACTCAACCAGAAAATGTAGGTCAGATTCAGCATCCGAAGCAAGCCTGGTAGTATGCATCCTTAGATGTATCATCCATGCAAGTTTGGTCATTATAGTGCTCATAGTTACTTGGAAATGAGACCTTCACCAAAAATTTAACCTGTTCACTCAACCGGAAAATGTAGGTCAGATTCAGCATCCGAAGCAAGCCCGGTAGTGTGCATCCTCAGATGTATCATCCATGCAAGTTTGGTCAACATAGGGCTTATAATTCCTTGGAAATGAGACCTACACCAAAAAGTGCACCAAAAATGTTAACCTGCTCCAAAAACATTAACCTGGTCATTCCTCTGCTGAAATTGCAGCATCTGAAACTTTGACTGGTACAATGAAACACACTAGAAGCATCTTCCATGCATGTCTAATCAATATAGGACATAGAAGTACTTAAAAAGAAAACTGCTCCAAAAAACTTAACCTGGGACGCCGACACCGACGCCGACGCCGACACTGAGGGTATTACATAAGCTCCCTCAACTTCGTTGAGGTGAGCTAAAAATGTATTTAATTTTCAATTTTAGAATATAAAACACAAATTGTGCAGAGTACTTTTTTATGCGAGAAGTAAAATTCAATGATCTAAAAAAGGAACCTGTCGCTTTTTCGAATGATAGTAAAACAACTTTATATATTAAATATGAAAAACATATATGTTTTTACAGATTCACTTTATGGAAGTAAATATATTATGTATCTCATAATTTATAAAGGGAAAGAACATTCTGATTAACAATCTTTTCCATGTTTAGAAAACCTTTAATTTTGAATAACTACTCCCACCCCAATCCCCATATACCAACACGTAAATTTATATATATAGAGCAGCCCGGTCCTCCGGGCTGCAATAATTTAAATCCCGTATAAGTGCAAAAAGGTCAAGAATATTACAATCAGTAAATAATCTATCTCTCATTAGTTGGAAGCAAAAGGTATATATTTTAATCACTTTTTGTAATCATTTGGGTATGTCCTTCATATTAAAGATTGAAAACATTGTGACAAAGACTTCTGGAGGATATTTACAAATGTAGGATGGAAAAATTGACTTAAAAAAATAAAGTTCATTTGCCTATCTATTTTATTTATGTGAACTTATCTTTTATGTCAATTGAATAAAAAAGAAATTATTCTTGAGAAATATTGCACAATATTGTTCAGTTAATTAAGTCTAAAAACGACAATGTTTGAAGAAGTATTTTTGTGATTTTTCATATTCTCTTCTTGACAAATACCCCTTAAATAACTGAAAATGTGTAGTCACAGTATGTAATTACCATACCAAGTTTCACAGGCTGTACTAAACTTAAAAACAAGGAAACATATCATGAGCTTTTAACTGATTGATAAGCATATATATATATACTAATTTATAATATCATTTTGAAAAGTTTGAAAATCTTGTGACAAAGACTTTTCCGACATAGGTTCTACCTTAAAGGTCACAGTGACCTTGAGATAGGTTGTGACACACTTTCTACCTATGATGTATATATTTGCGAAGTTTGATAGTTCTAGTCTAGGTCTAATAGTTTTCTAGTTATGAGCCAGACAGAATTTTTCCATATTTGGTCATAGCATCTTTATTAAAAGTCAGAGCGACCTACTTTTTGTGCGCGACACACCGTCTAACCGAGAAGTATCAGTTGACAAAGTTTGATAATCCTAGGCCTAATAGTATTGAACTTATGAGCCGGACACGAATGAACAGACGGACAGACAGACAGACATGAAGCCTATAACATAATACATCCCATCTTAAGACAAGCGTATAAAAAAAAGGTTTTAACCTGTACACTTAAAAAAAAATACTCACAAAGTGAATAGTCCAAAAGATTTCAACAAATTCTCGAATAAAAGTTCGTATTTGCCTTCAGAAATTTCTCTTTTTGCCAAACAATCAATGAAAATTCGTTCCAGGGCGAAAGTGAAATGCACTATATTTGGAACAAACCTGCAGAGAAAAGAAAATCATTTTAAAGTAGAATGAAACTCATCATGAACCACAGACGATATTAAGCATACAGATTTTTGGCCATGTTGAAAAATTCAACTGTCATATTGCACTCTTTAAAAATTAATTTATTGTTGTTTTAACATCCATTTCGAGATTTTTTCACTCGAAGGTCAAGGTAAAAATGGTGATGCAATTGAATAGCTTTAGTATACAATTAGAATTTAGTATACATGTATCAACATGTGAAGTTTGATAACACCATCTTCAATGGTACTGTAAAAAAATCACACATTTTCGAGGAATTAAATTTTAGTGGTTTGAGGAAAATATATTGGTTCCTGGGGATTTGATTTCATGGCGGAAGAATTGGACAGTAGTAAGAAAGCACTGTGATTTTTGGGAGTTGATTATATCAACTCTCCTTAGTCAGTGGGTCAGAAAATGAAAATGACAAACAGCCGCCAAGGAAAATGAGCATTGCGAATAAGAAAATAGTTCTGCATTAAACTAGTTAAAAGCAGAAAATATAATTCTTGACAATTTATAGTCAACAATTGCTTTGTGTTCAACTTTAGTCTGTCATTTCAATTTCTTCATAAACATCTTTCACCTTAATAATCATACCGATTCCGATATGTATTTATTCATCGTGCATGTGTTCTAATTTTAAGACAGGAAATTCCCTCCTAACACATCTTCCCTAGCCAAGGGTTTCTGATACGCTACTCTCCTCCTGAACCCTTGGCATACAATTTTGGTAGAGGCACTCTTGCTAATCATAACTATGCACTTAGTTAGTTTATTTAATACCCAGGAGCAGAGAAGAAGATTTTCAAAGAAATAATGCATTTTCACTATAAAATCAATATAATCAAGTTTTTGGGTAACATATGTCCCTGGGAGCATAAAATTAATTTTCCGTCCATCGTCGTAACTTCCGAGAAGTACTTATGTATACATAAACCGTCTGAGTGATTGTGATGGACACAATGTGGCATCAACGAATCAATGAGCTCAATAAACCTAAAAGTATTGTTATTATTTTTGAAAAAACATAGCTGCCAATTGTGCTTGAATATACGATATTTAATAACTATGTCAATCTCTTTCAACAAAAGAGTTCTACTCAAATTTAGATAAGTTGTGCAACATGTTTCTACAGATAGAAAAGAACCACAGAAGCATATGAAATATGTCCGTAGGACATGAATGCCCCACCGAGGGTATGTCAGTAATGCAACATGAAAATTCAAATTTGTGAATACATGAAATTTTAGAATATCTTGCAGTTGAATTGCTTACATCAGTATGTATCAGCATATGAAGTTTAACACTTCTATAAGAAAAGTGAGGTCAAGGTCAAAGGTTAGGCCAAGATAACAAAAAAAGTTGATCCAGTTGAAAAGCTCTCATCAGTATACATGTATCAGCATATGAAGTTTGACACTCATTTATGAAAAGTGAGGTCAAAGGTCAAAGGAAAGGTCAAGTTAAAATATGTCGATGCATTTGAATAGCTCTAATCAGTATGAATCAGCATATGAAATTTGACACAAATTAGGGAAAGGTGAGGTCAAAGTCAAAGGAAAGGTCAAGGTCGAATGTTGATGCAATTTGAATAACTCTCATCAGTATGTATCAGCATACGAAGTTTAATAAATCGATCTTGAATGGTATCTTTAAAACTGAGCTAAACACTCAATTAAGAAAAGTGAGGTCAAGGTCAAAAATGTTGATGCAGTTGAATAGCTCTCATTTGTATGTATCAGCATATTAAGTGTGATAACACTATTTTGAATGGTATCTTTAAAACTGAGCTAAACACTCATTTATGAAAAGTGTTTGTTTGTTTTTGTTTGTATGTTGTTTAACTTCCCTCTAGAGAATTTTTCACTCATATGGAGACGCCACCACTCGCCGGTGGAGAGCTGCAAATTTTGTCCTATACTTGGCACTTACGGCCACTGAGCAGTGAGGGATCTCGGTTTATATGGTCTCATTCGAAGGACCGGTCTCCATGTCCCACAGTGGGATTCAAACCCGCGACATTAGGATCAATTCCTTACTTCGCAACTCTGGAGCAGACGCTCCTACCACTGTGCCACGCGGGCGACCATTTATGAAAAGTGAGGTCAAGGTAAGGTCAAGGTTAAAAAATGATGAGGCTGTTGCATAGCTCTCATCAATATCTATCACCCTATGAAGTTTGATGAAAATATCTTGTACGTTTCTTTGAAACTAAGCTTTGAACTGAGCTAAACGCAAAGTGTGACGGAATGACAGAAGACGGACAGATTTCGATGAGGACTAATACAATGAGAATGTATTTGCGATCTAAAATAAAACCAATGCGCACTTACGTTTTTTTAAGGTGCGGATGTTTATTATCAATTTTGGCCATCTCTGAGGGGTTTAGTCCGAACTTGTCACGATTAAATTCTGATACGGTCATGTTTTCAAACGCTTTATCAAGATCTTCTATGAGACACGCCTCTACTGTAGCCTCGATTTCTTTAATTTCGCTGGGAGGTACAACTGCGACATGCCATTCCTTTAAGATTATATCTATGATGCCCGCCTCGGTGGATTCCACTCCTAATTTATCTACGAAATGAGAATCCCAGTCAGACGTGCTCTTCGGTGTGAATTCGTCTGAATCCAGACTGGAACTTCCATATGACTCACTCGTTGGCTTCGAAGACTCCTCACTAGTTAGCTTCGAAGATTCCTTGACATTCTCTAGTTCCTCCATCGTACTTATGGCTGCATCTTTACGATTTACAGTCAACTCGTACACAAACCGAGTCGTATACAAACCAACTCGTACACAAAAAGTCAACTCGTACACAAACATTTATTGTTTTATTATACCCCCGCTTGAAAAGCGGGAGGGTATATAGTAATCGTTAATTCCGTCCGTCCGTCTGTTACGCTTTGGGGTACCCATCTCTTATCCTCAACTCCTCTCATACCACTGAATGAAATCAGGGACCTATATACTAACGTTAGTATATAAGTCCCTGATGAAATTTGATGAAACTTTCACAGAATCTCTATTACATATTGCCATTGTGTGTGCACCTCCTATTTTACTTTTTGATCCGACACATATTTTGGGTTTCCCGGCCACAGGAAAACATGGACTTTTTCACCAGTTATAACCATATGGGAGGCGGGGGGTATCATTTAGTGAGCTCATTGCTCACAGTATCTCTAGTTGACTATTGAGCTTGAATATTGTTCGTTATCTCTTTATATATTTCATTTTATTGAAACAAATACTACATTTAGTAGTTTAATTTTTTATGTTATTTCGTAAGAGAAGGTATCACAAAATAGTTAAATAAAATATCTAAATGGAGATAACAAACAATATTCAAAAGACTGTTCCTATGAAGGAACCTACAACATTGTCCATGGGAATGTAGGAACACTCAAAAAAAATATTACTTACTTTTACTCAAATCAAGTAAACGAATTACTTATTTTAAGTAATTTTTAAGTAAGAAAGTTTGTCACCATAGCAATCATGATAAGTAATTTACAATATTTATTAGTAATTTTAAGTAATATAATTTTATAATTATAGAAACAGTGACAAGTAAATTTACTTAAAATAAGTAAAAAAAAAATGAATTACTTAGTATTTGAAATGCAAAGCTTTTTAGGTAATTCAGAGGTGGTTATGAGTAGACATTTACATAATGTAAGTTAACAAATTACTAATCATCTAATTAATTAAATTGATATTCCTCTGATTAGAGAGATAATGACATATTAATTTGATTGTCTATGCTAATTTGAGGTGCAAACTGATTTGAGGTGGAGAGGTGGACTTTAAAGGCGGAAGTATAAAGCAAATCCGGATGCTAATAATGACTATATGCATTTATAGGGAAGCAAACCCGGATGATTTTTTACTTATGATTAGCTAATACACATACGTTTCGTCCTATGAATATATTTAATGTTATGACGAGTTGAAACTTACTATGACAATAGTGTATTAAGATCTTAAAGTGTGTCCATTATTGAAATAAGACGTATATGTATTGCTTTGATTCATAAAAGTGGGTTTGATAAGAACGGTTTCGTGTATGTCCTGTACAAACAAATGAGACGAGAAATGTTAAACAAGTGGCCTGAGTCAAAACACAAGTTTTATAACCAAACCTTGAAAGATAAACCTCTAATTGTTCAAGAACTAGTCATATAATCAATTTAAAAGAAGAGATAAAAAGAGACACGGAAAAAAGGGAATGGGCGCGATATAGCGAACACCTTGTCTATAGCTTTGGTGACATTTGCACGACTCCTGTTAAAGCAATCATACACCAAGTGAATTGTTTAGCTATTCGTTCTCACGGACTTTCTAAGTACATAGCTCATAAATTTACATGGGCAAATATTTACAAAACGCGAAGAGGAGTAGGAGGGCGCAACCTTGCTATTCCCGAGGACAGAGGGACCCCTGGAACTGTCAAGATTCTGCGTTCACCCAACGGTCGTTCACCAGATGTAGTGTGTTTTCTCAGTCAGTGGGATATGGGCCGTACAGCACAATACCGCAAAATACCACCTTATGAGGACCTACCACTTGAACGAGAATTCTGGTTTAAGCAATGTCTGAATGAACTATCGAAAGAAGGCTATGAGAGCATAGCCTTCCCATATAAAATTGGATGTGACCTAGCTGGAGGAAAATGGCTCAAATATCATCTCATGATAAAAGAATTTGCTTCGAAATATGAGGGTCAAGTATACCTGGTGAGAAACGAGATCATTCGTTAAAGATTTGATATTTATATCTTTTCTATAAAGTTCTTTAGGAAAAGTAACGGAACCGGGACTCTCCTTACAAAATATTACTTTTACCCAATGATGCAAGTGATCATGTAATGAAAGGAAAGGAAACTGGATTTATCTTTGCTTGGTATTAGCGTCTTTTTTGAGGTGCACATATCTAAGGTGATTTTGCTCTTAACATGTCCACGGATGTTATCCGGATGTTAAACATGGATGAAAATGAGGTCATGAAGGAAACAAACCCGGATTTTGAACACGGATATGACGTTGTAAAGTTACTCATTTCCGTAAACGTCTCCAGTATTTTGACAATTAATCGCTAGCATTCAGGGTGTCAACATGTTTTCTTCTTGCTGTAAATTAGCTTCAGAGAATGATCGCTTCATTGAGGTATATACTACGAAAAACAACGAAAAAAGAGTAGACCTTCGCGAATGGAAAACGGATCGCTATGCAACAAAGAAGGGGATTAGTTTAAGGCTGGACCTTTTTAAAACATTGACTCTCGCATTTGACATGATTGATACAGCTTTAAACAATAACGAAGATCTACATTACCACATGGGCTCCAACATTTTCTGTTCAGTTAAAAAAGACAATCCGTGTGTGAACATACGACAGTATTGGAAACCTCCAAATACTGATATTCTCGTGCCAACAAAAAAGGGGCTATGTCTTAGACCTGTGGAGTACAGAACACTGAAAAATTGTGTAGCTGAAATAGAAAAAGTCGTTCCGGAACTTGAATCGCTCGTACCTTGCTTTTTGCGCGAGGATCATATGAACAAATTAGGCATGCTTAGATGTCTTACTTGTAACCCGCTGGAGTATGTGAACTGGTGAGAAGAGACGGTGCAAGAAAAAAATTTTTAAAAGGCTTTCATAGCTTAATATTCATCATTAATTGTTTTATGTATCATTTGTAAAAAGATATACAAGTTTCTGAAGGCAACACGAAAGAGAAAAAAATTATCATAAATGATTTCTTCGTGTATATAAGCATAAAGAATTATTTGACATTGTTTTCTTAAATTCATCATTATTGTTTTTTATGTATCATTTGTAAAAAGATGATCAAGATTCTGAAGGGAACATTCACAAATGGCATTTAAACAATGTAGATGTATTGCTTGTGAGTAAAATATGTAAAGAAGTATAATTATGTATACAGATGTAATAAACATGTTTATTTAAACGTTTATGAATCTTCATTGTTATTCAATCATATGACTCAGCTAGGATATACATATATATATTTCTCAAAAAGTTATGGCTAATTTATTTGCTGGAATAATGAGGTTGACAAACGTCGTGTACCAAGGAGACATGAACTGTTTTATCAATCTTCAACAACTAACAACCCGTTTAGTTAACGTGCGGTATGATCCCCTCAAATTTCCGGGGGTTATTTTTCAACATAGAAAAATAGGAGGAAACTGTTTAATATTTTCCAATGGAAAGATAAATTGCAACGGAGCATGCGATAGTTTTAATACTGGACTAAAACGACTGAGAAGGTATGCTCGCTACATTCAACGAATTGGATATGACGTCGTACTTACTAACGTACACATTGTCACCGCCTCCGCGTTTCACAAACTATCTAATCGTTTAGATGTAAATTCAATTTCTCCCGCCTTAAAATTTTCTTATGATCCTGAATTATTTCCTGCTGTAATGTTGCGACGAAATGATATTCAATTTACATGCCACTTAAGTGGGAGCGTGTTAATTACCGGCATAAAACGACTCAAGGAACTAGATGAGATTGTGTACCCAACTATAGTAGAAATAGAAACCTCATTATAAGAAGAAAAGTATTACTTAATTCTAATTATTTTATACCATAATCATGACGAAGACTATTTAAAATTCAAAATCCATTAGTGGATTGGAGAAGCTATATCGAGCTGTTCGAAAGGAAGGAAAATATGTACTCAGTCGATCTAAAATCAAAAAATGGTTACAAAAGCAAGAAACCTTTACCCTACATAAGCAAATCAATAGAAAATTCAAACGCGCGAAAGTTATTGTACCGGGAATTGGATACCAGTGGGACGCAGATACAGCCTTCATGACTTCTTATCGAAAGGACAACGACGGATATGCATATTTTTTAGTACTTATAGACGTTTTTTCAAAATTTGTTTGGACTGTTCCCTTAAAATCTACGAAAGGTTCTGAGATGACTAAGCATTAAAATTTGTGCTTTTACACTCCACATCCTGCAAAACTTCGTAGTGACAAAGGAGTTGAATATGTCAGTAAAGAGGTTCAACAATTACTGAAACAGAAAGGTATTACTCACTTTTTTTACTCAAAACGAAATGAAAGCAAACTATGCCGAAAGAGTTATAAAAACATTAAAATCTCGATTGAGTCGATACATGACAAAACGTCAGACTCATCGATGGGTGAACATCTTACCTAAAGTCACCGAAAGTTATAATTCTACTTATCATCGTTCCATCAAAATGGCTCCAAACCAAGTGAAAAAGAGCGACGAACCCTACATTTGGATGAAGAATTACGATTATGCTTGCAGTGACAGTTCAAATTCAACGCAGTCAAAACACGTAAAGAACGTACAATATAAGTTTAAAATTGGTGACATGGTTCGCATTTTTCGGTTGCGAGGAGCGTTTGATCGAGAATACGATGGAGTGGAGAGCATTTTATCGTGAAATCTCGCTCTATCAAACAAGGTATACCGATTTACGAAATACAGGATATCGATGGAGAAGACATAAAAAGTAGTTTTTACCAACAAGAGTTGCAAAAAGTAACAATCACAGAAGACACATTGTATAGAATCGAAAAGATAATAAAATACAAGGGGAACCAAGCTTTGGTTAAATGGTATGGTTGGCCCAAGAAATTCAATAGTTACATCCCTCGATTGTCGCTGAAATATTATAAGAATTCATAGATTATACTTTTAAAATTGTTCAAAAAATGGAGCAATCTCGCGTGATGCAAAATGCCGATTTTTTAAGAGAACTCGGGCATGCGAATTACATTCGACAACGTGTCATAATACAGAGAGCTAATCAACGACAGATTTCCGCTCTCAGTGATGTTGTACGCCATCTGCTTGATAGAACAATACCCATACTATCACCCGACCGCAGTTTTTTCCGTCAACACAACTTAGTCATGAGGACTTTGTCAAGTTCTAGAGTTTCGGTCTCCCGTAAGAAAAGAACATTACTGACGCATCATACCCTGATTCCCAGTCTTCTAAGAGACTACTACTTAGCTAGAATTCTTATTTTAACCATCAGGAACAGCGAGTCCTAAGGTTATAAGAAATTGGTAAAAGTAAAGGAGAAAACACGAAAAAGAAGCAATGGCCGTATATCTTTTCATAGACAGCAGAGACTCTACCATTTTCCATCCCTCCAACACTCCTGATGACTTTCTTGTTACGCTGCCCAAAGCTTACTTGATAGATGACTCGTGGGAATGTGCCATTTTAGAATTAAACATTGATATGCACGATGATGTTAGTACAGCTAAATTGTATGTATGTTGTGACATCATAGGCGATAGTTACGTCAAAAATACGATGTTACCAATTTTGAGAGCCATCACGTTAAAGAGAGGAATTAATCAGATAACCTACACAAATCCCTTTTACATGACAGTTTCTAAACAGGAAATCAGTCAAACAAGAATATTTATTAGAAACAAAGACTTGAGTGTTCTTCATTCTCAAGTTAATTTTTTCAATTGTACTCTGTGTCTGCGTAAAAAGAAATTATGGGATCAGTAGAAGTATACGACTACAAGAAAATGCAATGGGTACCATACATTCCGAATATCGATAAATGGGTTCGCCATTTTGAAGATATTTCTGCTGGAAGAGTTCGACCGGACTACAAGGGGCGTTACATTGTAGGAAGTGGTTCTCATAACGGAACAGTACCTCCCAGTCAAGAACATAAACCCACCGTGAAGCTGGTGACACCAGTAGCACAGGCCGTCGAAATGGCCAGATCCGAATTAGAGCGCGAACAAGACAACTCTCCGAATGAGGATAAATCTATAAGAAAGAAACGATTCTTAGCCCCGCCTGGCAAACGCGACAATAAACCTAGGTCCAAGAAACCTAAATTCGATACACAATTCGACGATTAGTCATGGATGAAAATCATTTAAATCAACTCTCCCTTTTTGAATCACCTCCCGTCGATACGACCATTCAAACGAGAGAATGGGTGGAATTTAGACCTATCAATCAAATATCAGAGTACTCTGCTTTGGAATTTAACATACCACCACTCTCTACGGGTTACATGGATCTTAGAAATAGTCGGTTAAAAGTCAAATTGAGAATACTGAATTCCTTGAACAATCCCATCACAAAAGAAGATGCTGTGGGTTTGGTGAATCTACCTTTACATACCATATTTGCTCAGGTAGACACCAGTCTACAGCAAACCCCTGTATCTCAGTTGGGCGCAAACTATCCTTACAAGGCCTACATCGACACTCTGTTGACTACTCCGCCGACAACTACGGAGTGCGATACTCTCAACTTTTCATTAAGAACTCCAACAATCCAGACGATGCCTATCCTATCAAGGGCCTGAATTCAGGATTGTACATACGTTATGTATTTACTCAAGAAGGCAAAATACTAGATTTGGAAGGCCCCCTGCAGATTGACCTCTTTCAGCAGGAAAGTTTAATTTTAAACGGAGTATCACTTTCGCTAAAATTGTGTCCCAGTAAATATGCCTTTAAACTGATGTCAGTGTCTGGTTTAGATTACAAAGTTCAGATTGTCGATGCGAGTTTTAAGCTATGTATCCAAAGACCGAATCCTGCTCTAACCATGGCTCATGTCAAAATGCTAGAAAAGTCTCCTGCAATATATATTCTAATCTGAAAATAGCTTCCATCGCTAAAGGAGAATTCGGTTTTACCATGGACGACGTATTTCAGGGAGAAGTTCCCTCCACTCTCATTCTGGGACTGGTATCTAGCAGTGCCTTTAGTGGAAATTATAAGAAGTCACCCTTTAACTTTCAACATTTTGATTGTAATTTTGTAGCTTTCTACGTGGACGGACAGTCTTTTCCCTCCAAACCTTTACAACCCAACTATAATGCCGATACTTACTTGGAAGCTTACCAAACCTTAGTTTCGGGTAGAGAAAACGTTTATGTTGAACGTGAAGAATACCCAAAAGGCAATGCCCTTTACGTATTGGACATCAATCCCTACATCGTAGATTTTAACACAAGAAGAAAAGGACATTGTCGCCTAGAACTCAAATTCGCATTTCCATTACCAGAGAGCGTAACGTTAATTTTATATGGAAAGTTTCCACAAGTTCTCCACATCGACCAATCTCGAAGCATCATATTCAAATGAATAACTTTGAATTTAAATCTTATTTGTCGAGATATGACGTAAAAGTTACGTGTGCTGATGAATTGCCAACCAACGCCAGAAACATAGGTTTTGGGTAGTTAATACAGACAGATGCGGAGGAAGAGGAATGCATGCTATCCATTTTCCTTTAAGAGGCCCAGCAGAATTTTTTGATTCTCTAGGAAACTCTCCGGAATTTTACAACACCAGATTCAGATACATTTTGACAATTAATGGTCCTAAATATCCATACTCTAATTCTAGAATTCAATCAGAAACGTCTAGTGTGTGTGGACATTATTGTATTTATTTCATTGTTAAAAGAAATTTGGGATTTTCCATGAAAAACATTATGCATGATTTTAGTGTATCACATCTGCATGAAAAAGACCGTTTGGTCTCTGACTATGTAAAACAATTACATCAATAAAATTATTTACGAACAATTTTCATTTTACTTTGAGTTTTTAGTATGAAAATAATATTTTGATGAACAGGAATCACGAATAGAACTTATTTTGTGTCTTAATGCTGCTAACAGAAACCTTCAAGTTGAGTTCATACTAAGTAACTATTTCGGAAAAAAACAGAGTTGACTAAAAACTATTAGTAATTATCCTTTAATAAAATTCACATACGAAATTGGTTTATTTCTTTAGAATAATTATCAACATCAGAGAATCTCGTTAAAAAGATAACAAAAGAATATGAAATTATATATAATTCTTTATTAGTATGCAGCATTGATGATTAATAATAGAACAGTGAATATGGTTTAAAATTGAATCCAAGTTTTATTAAGTCTGTATCGAAAATAAGGTTTCTTTGCGGATTTCAAAATCTTTTTTGCGATTTTTAAAGTCTTTTGGAGTGCTGGTTGTATTTTCATTAAAGGCACAGGAGATGTACGCAAAAAATCCTCTTTAGTTTCAGAATCCACCAAATTCTCGGTCTGTGAGCTTTGGTTGTTTGTCTCCTGTTGTAACTCATCGGGTTTAGTTATATCTTCAGGTTTGTTTTCGGGTATTTCTGTAGAACTTTGTTTAAAATCTTCCTGATGCGACTCTTGGAGAGACAACAGACGTTGGTATTTGTCGTATGGTACCAAAACAGATTTTTGCATTACGTCCACCATCTTCTTAGGAAAGGTTTTACGATTTTTAGAAAAACGGGAACGATCCGATGTTTTCTTTTTAAGAGAAGTAACTTGCTTTTTCGCGACGCCGTCTTATCCCCCAAAACTAGAAGAAATGATTTGTGCTTTTTAAGTATATTTTTCTCACTTTGGTTAAGTACAATGACACTATGTATGACGTTCGCAGCTATTTCTCCCAACACTTGTAATTGTGGTTTCGTCACAGAACTCAGTAACAGCTTTCTTTGTGCGGGGGATGTTTGTATTAAAAGTTCTAAAAAGGATTTCTGGTCTCTAACCAAGGAACTCATTTTTAAGACAGACTTGAAAGGGCATTCTTATGAACTGTAAACTACGGGTTCTTCCTCCGGAAATATGTTGGTTCGGAGTCTATATTTGTCGTTGCCTTGTGGTGACGTATCAACTACGAGGTACCCAAAAGCTTGTTTAGTTGCATCAGTGTATGCGTCTATTAATAATTTAGAGCGTCCTGGGTATAGTTGTCGGCCTAGCACAGATATCTGTGAGGCATTTCTCATGTTTTTCATGAGTACTAAATAATAGGTATTTAAGGCTATGGTTCGAGATTTAGAGCCTCTTGGAAAAATATTTTGGGTAATGAAAATGACGCTGAGACGTCGGTGATGACAGCCCTGTGTAAACAAAAGTTCCATGTCTACATCCTGTACGACTCGATGCATTAAATCGTCTAACACTATTAAATGTATGATGGCGATCGGAAGTCAAATCTTGAATTGTTTCATTAGAAGGTATCCCGTGATGTAATTTCAAGTTAGAAATATGTTGCTCTATTTCGTCAAATAAAGGCTGATGAATTCCGTAACAATATAAAATTCTTTTGGGAGGTTCCTTAACATACATTTCATCTAAATGAGTAAGTAACCGATATACAAATCTTGTCTTTCCGCTTCCTGTTTGCCCGCTATACACATGCTCGAACAAGGTTGAATATAATATATATGATTATTCTACAATCCCTCTGCGATAGAGCAGGGTTCTTATATTTATCAGCCTTTAAAGACGGGTTGGGTAAGACATCATGGCACTTCAGCAAAGATATCCATAATTCAAGGAGCCGTTTTTTAATGACAGATTAACTAAAAGTGATTATGATGATATATACCACTGTCATTTGACAGAAATATAATTTCCAAAAACAGTTTTCTAGAAACCTCCAAGATTCTGTTGAAGTGCTATTGGGTCTTTCCATAATTAAAAAAAAACAACACCATTACATTAATGCTTTTTTACTGAATATATAAAAGATATTATAAAACAAAAACACGACAATACAAAATCTGTTTGTCAACATTTATTTTTATATGATTATGTATATGTAAATAACAACTATAGGATGTAACATAACATGTTCTCATAAATCTATATACAATATGTACAATGTATTTGGTCTATGCCCGACTCACGCCTGATGAAAGATGGGCACAGTTTTATAAACAATATTGAGAGCAACTTTTAATTATATACAACAAGTAATGCTATATACTTTTAATAATAGAATGATATATCTATGAGTAATTTGCAAAAAAAAAATAAAAAAAAAAAATAATAAACAAAATAATAAACAACAATAAAACCTATTAATGAAGTCCTCCCTATACCATTGCCTAAAACTTCAAATTTATTCACTCATGTTTGATAGTTAATTGTATATCGATTTCTATTATTCGACTTCTTCTAGAAGATGAATAAGATTTAAATCGAAGTCGTCAATTTCGATATCATCGATCTTTTTAGGTTTTAAGGGACACAGTTCTATATCTAATGGTTTTGTATCACACCGTAGCAAGTACTTTTCTTTTACAGTAAAAATAGGAAAAACCATTCCTCACTTGACAATAAGTGCAGATTTGGTTATTGTGAAGTTTAAAACCCATATTTATCCCAAAAGCTTGTTTTTGAGTTTTTAAAACATTTCTAAAAGTGGTCAGGGGTGCATTTACTCTGTTCTTGGAAACACCTTTGCACGAAAATTTACAATTGGTGATATCTCTTTGTTTGATATTTTTCCGCCTGTTCAGAGACTTATATTTCTTAGCTCGTTTAAGTAAGCGCTTCGCCGTTATCACGGCGCTTGAAAGCGACACTTGCTTTCGAGCTGAAACTACTGTATATAAGTCTTGGAACAAAGACCAATGATCTCGTCCCCTTCATATTCCATTTTAAAAGAGTCCAGGCGTTCTACGATCGTACTTTGCGTGTTCCTTACAGCAAGTGCGAGGAAACCAATGTCGGTCGCAGTCCGCCTCGATCTCTAGGGTGCTAGTACAATATCCGTTGAGACCGTGATCGTAAATCTGTCGCAGTTCAGGTTTAATCACAGACTCAAAGGTGGAACCCGATATTGCCATGTAGGCAGAGTCTGTGTCCATCTCGCAGTATTCAAAGTCTGCACGGTCTACAAATCTATCCATGAAATCATAGTAGAATTGCAACATGTGCAGTTTTGCATACTGCAAGATGAAGTATCCGATCTGAATGGGCAAGTTCAAATTCAATTTCTTTTTACTTCTTTCTATTTCGTACAATTCCTCGTCTTCTATCAAAGTTGTTAATTTTTTAAAGTGAGGCTCATTTATTTCCATCATGGCATTCCCTTCTCCTCTGACATACTTGACGACCTGAAATTTTTCTTGATCCATGATGGTGGATCCAAAAGCACTATTACCTTCTAATTTTCGCGTGTCTGCGATAATTGCTTTAGAAGGATCTACGTCACCTTCACGCCTAGCATTACTGACGTCGCTTACGAATGATCGAAAACATCGTTGTGGCGTGAATTCCACGGTTTGATATATTTTTGTGATTTCCAGACCATGACTTATATACCACTTCAGTAATGGAGTAGCAATTAATAATTGGCGTGCGCGCATTCCCCCGACTAGTAATCGTCTAGGTTTTGTAGACAGGTTAAAGACCTTTGCGTGGTGTTGCATGTGTCTACCTATTGCATCAAACGGAATGTCAGTGGTACAAAAGAGAGGACTCATTTCGGAAAAATACTTGTGAGGGGTCATTGTTGGATGATTGAAATGAGCCGGCCATGTATCCGGCACGCGAATGTCACACTCAACCATGCCAAACAACTTATCACTCATCACGGCAACTATTACGTCTTCCGATGACAAAGAACCTTGACTCATATTAGGCTTACGCGAATTTGTGAATTTTTTCAACTTCAAATTAGACCGAATGTTATTCCGGAAAGTGCATTCGCGCATCTCTACTACTTTATAACCTTTCCTTTGAAGATAATGTGTTGTTTTGCGAGTTTTCTTTTCACGACTACTCATCTGCTTGTGGTCTTGAACATGACGCGTTAACCAACAACGGTGGCCGTGCCAGTAACAACCTTGAAACTGAAACACGGTGTTGGAAGCTTCGTCATAGCCGTCGACCGGAAAGCGACCTATTTTCTTTTCCTTTCCGGAATTCAGTTTGTGTGTAATCTTGTACTGGCCACTGTGGTTCAGCCACTCTAACCAATCATAGGCTAGAGAGTATCGATCGCGTTTCTGTGGTTTAAACCCGTCGTCTACCTTACGGCGCACAAAAGAACCCACGGGCATTTCTTTCCCTATACAGTGTAGATACAGGGCATTAGCATCGAAGCCAATGATCTTACCACAAGGTTTCTGGGAATTCCCTCGAATATAAGTTTTTCCAACCTCGTGATGGCGATTAAATATGATACTCGGTCCGCCAATAATGTTTTGCTTAATGGTATCATACAAGTCTTCGTTGGCTTGATCGAACAATGCAAAACTCGCCCCCTCTTTTCTCCCACTGTCAAACAGCATTCTACGCGCAAGACCTGGCACCGAAATACTACATTTAAATATATCAATGTTACGTTCGAAATAGTACTTCTGTAGATTTGTCACGGCCTGCACGAAAGGTTTGACGTCGAGGTTGTTATACCACACCAGAAAATCGCGAAATGATGTCATATTTTTTTCCTCCCACACTCTTTGACAAAAGCTGTATTCTTCGTTTGTGATATTTGAATCTTTCAAAGACGAATAAAAAGCTTCATGTGGAGGAAGTTCGGGGTAATTTAATTTTTCAACAGAGTCTAGAAATTGGTAGGGAAAAAAACCTTTACATTCTTGTACATCGAAAGCACGCAAGAACCCTGAATAATTGATGCCGGGACTCAGATACTGTGTAATATCTAAAAATTTAAACCTACGAGTACTTATGCAGGCATAAGCATTATTTCGCTTGACGGTGAATGTGCCATTTGTCGAATCTAGCTCAAGATGTTTGATGAGATAACTTTTGATCAAATTAATATCGTATTTGGCGGAATTGAAACCGATACAAATGATCTGCTCGCAATATTCTTCCATTTCCAACTTCAACTTTTCTATGCTTTTCTTTTCATCTTCAATCATTTTATTGACATCGTCTTCGTGTTCGAGGTACTCGGCCATATCCTCGTCCACATTGTCGAAAACAAGGTCATCGAGAGCCTCGAACACGTAGACAAATTTTTGTTTTGCAAGTTCAGCAGCCCTATTAGCTATCATTGTCATGCACTGAACCATGTTCTTGACCAGAGTGTTGATATCTGGTTCAATGATACAATGTGGTTCAATGTACCCATCTACGTTAGAACAGATGCTAACAGAGATGGGTACGTGATTTTCTGTGTATTGCTGAGAACCAGAACTTTCTGTGTTCATTGGAACCAGCATGGACTCAAAGTCATACACTAAAAACCACTCGTATATTCTTTCGTTCTCGGGAACATTTATACCGAATTGATTCAATTTGTCAAATACAGTACTTGGAGAATAATGAAACCCTCCTTGAAAATTTCTCTTTGTTTTTCCCGAGCAAACACGCTGATGTCGTTTCATGTTGTGTAGGTATTTGAAGTGACGATGACAAGTTTTGCAAAGAAATTTTTGAGCATAACAATTAAAATTACAAATGTAAGACAGATGATGTTCGTACAGATTCAAGTGTAAAGTGTCTGAAAATTTACATGAGGATTTGTAAATGGACAGCGCCGATTGACTTTCATTCAATGAAAAGACATTTACATTGATTTTGAAGCATTTTTCAAAATAGATTATTTCATTCAAAGTGATACCCGGGAATGTTTTAGGATTCGAATCCACATCTCTTTGATGAGCTTTTTGAAACGAGACCCATTGTTGAAATAAAACATGTGTACGAGATTCCAAACCCGAGGGATAGTAACCTTGATGAACCGCTAAACAGCGGAAACGCCAAAGATTATCTGTATATATTTGACCATTCCTGTCCTTGGTCAGCTTAATTATGGATTTTGATTTCTAATGAAGGAAACATTTACTTCCGCATTTGAAAACAAAATTCAAATGATATATGACAAATGCGTACATTGGTTATTAAATAGGGCTTCCATTTTGTGTCAGGGCGCTGGCGTAATATGTAATTCGAATGTTAAGTCGTTGCATTCGCTTCTGCAAACGTTTTAAATGTTCGCGCTGTGACACGTAAATGGGTCTCTGAAAAACTTCCTGATTATGATGGGGTTTAAAATATCTAAATTCTCTTGTTTCGCTGCGTATTTTGAAATGAGACCCTGTTGAAATAAAATATGTGTACGAGATTCCAAACCCGAGGGATAGTAACCTTGATGAACCGCTAAACAGCGGAACGCACAAAGATTATCTGTATATATTTGACCATTCCTGTCCTTGGTCAGCTTAATTATGGATTTTGATTGACTAATGTGAGGAGGTAACATGACTTCCGCATTTCCCAAAACAAAATTCAAGTGATATATGACAATGCGTACATTGGTTATTAAATAGGGCTTCCATTTTGTGTCAGGGCGCTGGCGTAATATGTAATTCGTAATGTTAAGTCGTTGCATTCGCTGCTGCAAACGTTTTAAATGTTCGCGCTGTGACACGTAAATGGGTCTCTGAAAAACTTCCTGATTATGATGGGGTTTAAAATATCTAAATTCTCTTGTTTCGCTGTTAACCAATATGAGACCAAATTCTAAATTTAATCTGAAAGCTCTATTTTGACGATCGTATATTTCATTGGCTGCTTGCATTATTTCCCCAACAGAAAACTGATTATCTATGGGAAAGTTATAAATACTACAAACAGTCCCCTCTTGATGACGCCGTAATATGATTGGTGCATTACTTTCATATACTTCTTTTAGGTTGTGGTCGACTATCCCACCTTCTTCCCAAGGAGGGGATCCATTTCCCCATGGTCTGGCCTGTAATCCTCCCTCTCCCACTTGAAAATGTTCATTCATCTGATGAACAAAGAGATTACGACGCGAATCAAATCTGTGATGACATGTTCTACATGTATATCTCTCAACGGGTTCCTGAAATACAAGCAAAAACTTAAATTATTTTTATTTTTTTAGATAAACAAATTGGAAAATGAAAAAAAAAATCGCAATCATCATTGAATTCCTTTTTTTTTAATGAAATCAGCACCTGTATTTTGATTTTCAGTGAACCTTTGAATAGGTCCCATGTTATTTTAATTGTTTTGTAATAAAAAAATAATCATTTAAAAATTCTCTGTAAATTATTCATGTTAATAGATATACCTCATTCTGCATTTCTTCAGATCTGTTACTAGGTCCCGGAATATCTTGATAACTCTGTTAAAAATATCAGATGAATCCTCTTAATTTTGATTAATTTCGAAAGATAAAACAAATAATCATTAAAGATTTCTTCGTGTATAAGCATAAGGAATTATTTGAAATTATTTTTTGAAATTACAAATAGTATGTGATTTATATTTATAAATACCCCATGTTGAGTTTCATCAGATCTCTTACTAGGTCCCGGAAGATCTTGATTATTCTGTTTTAAAATAAATCAATGAATACTTAATTATCATAATTGGTTTTCTTCTTATACAAGCATAAAGAATTATTTGAAATTGTTTTCTTTAATTTCAAATAGAAAGATTTTAACTTAATAAATACCTCATGTTGAATTTCATAAATAACGATGGTGTTCTCCAAATAATAGCTTCATATTTAATGAATGTGGTAATTCTTGATTTTCTGTAATTATTTTATTCATTTAAAAAAAAATATTACACTTAATTTTTTGGTTGTTCTTTCTTATTTTACAATAAGAGAAAAATTACTTTTAATTGACTTACACCTATTAATACCGTATTTCAAAAAGGAAGCAATTGACAAAAAAAAAAAAAGAGAGAGAGAAACTCAGACATGACAAGTGTCAAAAACAATCTTAATAAATTCTAGAAATGAATTAAAGTAAAAAATTTTTTTACTAATATGCCTTTTATATATTTAGGAATATCTAGTAAATGTTTGAAAATCTTCAAACACAATATTTCATGTACATCTAAAATTTTAATTATATCCCCACCCAAAAAAAAATTTTTTTTTTGTTTAACAGAAATTGAATTTCTAGTTATCAGATCTATAACCAGGTGCTGGAATATCTTGATATTTCTGTTAAACAAAAAAAAATACTTTAAATAGTATTTACTTTGGAAAATAAATACGGGTGGGGATATAATTAAAATTTTAGATGTACATGTTTAAGAATATTGTGTTTGATTCAGATTTTCTCCGATCGTTTGTCTGATTTCATTTACTAGAAAATTGATTATATTTGTTCCTTACTATATAAAAGCCATATTAGTAAAAAATATTTTACTTATTTAATTCATTTCTAGAATTTATAGTCACAATTGTTAGATTGTTTTTGACACTTGTCAAAATGTCTGAGTTTCTCTCTCGTTTTTTTTTTTTGTCATTATTGCTTCCTTTTTGAAATACGGTATTAATAGGTGTAAAGTCAATTAAAAGTAATTTTTCTCTTATTGTAAAATAAGAAAGAACAACAAAAAAAAGAGTGTAATATGCCTTTTTTTAAATGAATATAATAATTATCTTGATTTTGATGTCTAAAACCAAGAATCGTTAAATATTCTTTGCCAGTTAAGAAGTACCACATTTATTAAATATAAAGGTATTATTTGGAGAACCCCATCGTTATTTAGTCGTGCATGTTTAAGAATATTCTTAACCACGATCGCACTTCCGTGTTTTAATTTTTGTAAATAATTCATACCTTGCATCTTCCTAGATGTTGCTGAAGAGTCTTTTCACACAAGTATTCTTTTTTGCACCTTTCACATTTCAACAACTTATCCCTGTGTTCTTTAAGTATATGGATACGTCGTTGAATGGAAGTTTTGAAACATTTCTCGCAATGGGAACACGTTTTACTCTTCTCACATGTCTTCAAATGACGTTCGAAATTGTCTTTCCGATTTATTTCTTTTCCACAAAAATTACATTTCAATTTCACTTTGTTTGAATGTATGTCCAAATGACGTTTTCTTGCAAATTCACTGCTAAACGTCTTGTTGCAGTGAGGACAAGGATGTTCCATCGCTAAAATTTGTCAATAACATTTATTATCCGAATTTGTTTAAATATATTTTAACGTTCGTTATATTTATAACCAAGTAAATTTTGTATCACTAGTTTCTCTTCTTATGTGTTTCTGCTCATTTAATATTTTGAATTATATGTATATATCATTATTAACGGAAACTGACGACTAACTGATCCTTGTTTGTGTAATACGTTATAATGCAGTACCGGAATAGCTTTACTTCGGAAAATAACAACGGATCTGAGTAAAGGAAATTTATTTGTAAATACAAATCCTTAATCATATTTGACTACATGATTTTAAATTTGACTAAATTGTGAATCAAGTCAATTTTTTTCTCTTTGTCCAGTTGCAATTTTTTTGTATTTACTACTCTCCAATCATGTTAATAATCTCGGCGGTGGTAGTTGTATTGTTCTTCATCCACTGATCTTCCCAGTTCACTTTAATATATTTTGAGACATAAATATAATTTGTCAAATTTTGTGTCTCTCATGATGGCAGAGTTGAATACTGTTTAGTATTAGTTTATATCTATCCAAATCCAGTTTTTCCGTGTCTCTTTATTTGAATATTTCTTCTCTAAAATTTATTAAATGGCTATTTCTTAAGCAAATAGAGGTTTCACTTCAGCATGTTAATCATGTTTTAAGATCTTGTATTAAATGTTTGTCTTGACTCAAAATTAGGCCTCATATAGTTAAAATTTCTCGTTTCATTTGTTTGGTCTTAACACTAAAAAGAAACCGTTCGTATAAAACATACTTTGATGAAAAAAATGCTATATACTTCTCATTTCAATAAATCAGTGATTATTATAGTGTTGTTTAATATCGCTCTCATTCCCACTTCTCCGTGTCTCTTTTTTATTTCTTCTCTTCAATTTATCAAACGACTAGTTCTTGAACATTTTCAACTTGTTTATCATTTTTCAAGGTTTTGTTATAAAACTTGTGTTTTGACTCAGGCCACTTGTTTAACATTTCTCGTCTCATTTGTTTGTACAGGACATACACGAAACCGTTCTTATCAAACCCACTTTTATGAATCAAAGCAATATATATATATACGTCTAATTCACACACTTTAGGATCTTAATACACTATTGTCATAGTAAGTTTCAACTCGTCATTACATTAAATATATTCATAGGACTAAACGTACGTGTATTAGCTAATCATAAGTAAAAAATCATCCGGGTATGCTTCCCTATATAGTCATCATTAGCATCTGGATTTGCTTTATACTTCCGCCTTTAAAGCTCACCTCTCCACCTCAGATCAGTTTGCACCTCAAATTAGCATAAAAACAATCACTCTATACTACTGACTTCTCTCTAAGTCAACTCATTATATTCTACATTGGCGTAAGGATGTTGATTTCCTGTTTCGATTGCTTATATTTTCATTAATTATTTATAATAGCTTATCTAAAACATTTATACTAGGTTAATTTAAACGACGTAAATTGAGATATTTATATCTCTTAACGAATAAGTCATTTAATTGTAACAAAAATTTCAGAAGCAGAATTGTTTATGAACATTTGATTAATATTTTGTTTTATTAAAAATTATTTTCAAGGGCGATAATGGAAATCTAAGTAACTCTTTTTACTTAAAATTACTTATATTAATTTTTTGAATTAATTCTAATATACTTTAAGTAATTAATTTACTTACAATAAGGAATTTTAAGTAATTCGTGAATTACTTAGTAATCCTTAGTAATACTCAATCATAGTAAGTAATTAACAATTATTTTAAGTAATCATATTACTTAAAAGAAGTAAAAAAAAATTACTAAGCATTTTTTTATTTTGAGTGAAGATCGCATATATAGCACTAGTAAGATCCATAATGGAGTATGGAGCTGTTATCTGGGATCCATACACCAAACAAGAAACATCAAAATTAGAATCAATACAACGAAGAGGTGCAAGATTCATAACAAAAGATTATAAATCAAGGGAAGAGAGCCAGGCACGTAGCAACCGGGGGGGGGGGACCACTTTTTTCGCCAACATTACTTTACTATAGAAAATGTCCATTGAAAAGTTGGTTGGCCCCCCACTTTTTTACCACAGTACATTTATAGCAAGGAAATAGTTTGGGCAATTCTTAATTTTCCTTTTTTCTTTTTTTTTCTTTTTTTGCGCTTGTCAACTTTTTTTGGGGGTAAGTGAAACAATTTTTCTCAGGTTGTCCCCCCCCCCCACTTTCAAAAACGATGCTACGTGCCTGAGAGCACAATAACAAAGATGCTCAAAGAACTTGACCTTCCCTTATTAGAAACCATACATCAACATCAACGCCTGATCTTTCTCCACAAAGTGGTTGAGGGGCAGATACCAGCTATCAAACCCGATCAATATATCAAATTCCAAAAGCAGAAAAGAAATATCAAACCCAAAGTGTACGTAGACTACCAAGCGACAAATATTATAATAGGATAAGAAATAACAGCAGAGCAGTAGAAAAACCAGACGCAAAGACAGAGCAACTCAAGAACTCGATCGTTCTTTGTACGCACTGCGATCGATTGGAACCATCTGGAAGAAGAAGTAGTCCGCGCTCCCAAGCTGGAAAGCTTTAAGTCAGCGTTGGAACATCAGCTCGACTTTAGAAACGCTCTCTCTCCGTCACGTCAAAGCCCAACGGGTTACTGTGATGTACCAATACAGATACAGACTGGAGTTTAATTAAGCAATATATATTTTGTTGTACCTTAGACTGCTGTCTGTTAAAACACTTTCCAAAGAAATTCTGTATGAATATAATCATGCAGATAAAATTAAAGTTATAAAAACTACAAAGGCAGATTATTTTAGAATATTTTAAAATTATCTTTAAAATTTTATTATGAAACAAAAATCAACAATGAAGAGAATGACTTACACTTTGAATGTTTTAAACAAAAAGGAATGCATTTTATTAATCTTAATGTCAGATCGATATAAAATATCAGAACTTCGACTTTAAGCATCTAAATTAATCTAAACCAGCAGTGATCAGTCTAGACGAACTCCAAAAACGGCGTGAACTCCAAAAAAAGAAGTCTTTGGCTCCGTCATGCATTGCGGCAAAATGGCTTCCGGTGTAAACAAACGATGGATTGTCGTTCACTTTCTCCACAAATACGACCGAATAATAGCTGTATTTAGTAAACTGCGACTGGATTTTAATTTTTGTTGAATAAATAAAATTTGCACTTATTATAATATGTTGACGGTGCGACCGTTAGAAAGAACGCAAACTCTTCTACTGTTTTAATTTAGATCGGGCTCGTCAAACCGCACGTGACTGCGTCTAGACTCTGACGTCACATGACGTCGTATGTAAGTTACAAATACCAAGAAAAAACTGAACAGTGCTGAAAGTTAATGAAAAAAGTTACGTTTACAATTTATCTTCAATATGTATCCATTTAATCAAGGCGAGTAAACTTTTTGTTGAACATTTGCCGTCATTCTCGCGAGAACGCAACTTTGCTAAGTGATGCATTGTGGGTCAAAATTACTGCAGCAAAAAATTCTAAAGAATGAATGTGCAGTAGTCCGAATTTTCTCTTCGCCCAGGCGTTGTCGTTAGAGCTCGCAGTTACGAGCGTCGCTTCGCGACGCTCGCCATTATTTAAGTGGTTATTGACTTAATATGTTGACGGTGCGACAGTTAGAGCGAGCGCAAACTCTTCTATTGTTTAAATTTAGATCGGGCTCGTCAAACCGCACGTGACATTTGGTGCGTCTAGACTCTGACGTCACATGACGTCGTATGCAAGTTACAAATATTAAGAAAAAAACTGAACAGTGCTGAAAGTTAATGAAAAAAGTTACGTTTACAATTTATCTTCAATATGTATCCATTTAATCAAGGCGAGTAAACTTTTTGTTGAACATTTGCCGTCATTCTCGCGAGAACGCAACTTTGCTAAGTGATGCATTGTGGGTCAAAATTACTGCGGCAAAAAATTCTAAAGAATGAATGTGCAGTAGTCCGAATTTTCTCTTCGCCCAGGCGTTGTCGTTAGAGCTCTCAGTTACGAGCGTCGCTTCGCGACGCTCGCTGCGCTCGCTATTAATTTATCGTTCTGTATTCTTGCATAATAGTGATTTGGGATATACGATATCGGAGTCAATAAAGCTGGTAAGAATTAATTTCCTAACTTAATTAATTATTGTCCCCTTGATTTAAATTTCATGCAATTCCTACTATAAAGATGCTTAAATTTTACTTCCAATTTTCGCGGCGGAGCAGAGATATTGACAGGTTCGTTTTGAGAAGACTTTTTTACCATGTTTACAGTAATTTTAAAAGAATGATTTTTAAAAGTTCTTAAACTGATGTATTATAATTCTAAAAATGTTTTCAGGATTATATCTGTTCATATGTGATACTTACGCTCTCAATTCAGATGTCATACAGGATTATATATGACGAAATTATATTACAAATGGGTAAAATTCGGTCAATGTTTTAAAACAGTTACAACATATATAATATGTTCTACGGTGCGACCGTTGGGGCGAGCGCAGTTATTTACTATCAAAAACTTACACAGCATTTACTTGCACTGCCTATCCTCAGTTCATTTAAAAAGAAGAAATGAATTTTAAAAAATCGCTTCCCAGGCATCGGGATCGAGATTCCGAACTTTTCGGAAGTTTCCGACAAAATCGGAAATACCCGAGCCGTTTAAGTGACGAAAGTATGACGTCAAATAAAAAGTCCTGTTGACTTAGAACGCAAACGATAATTTTGTGGCATGGAGATTGCATTAAATCGTTGTTTGTAATTTTTTTCAAGTAAGTTGTTGCTATGTTTTAGCCACCATGTTGCTATGCACCGCAAAAATTTCTTGGAACAATGTGCAGATTTCAACCCGAATTACCTCTGTTCGTACACGTTAGTCTATTGAGCTCGCTACGCGAGCGGCGCTTCGCGCCACCTCGCTGCGCTCGCTATTATAATATGTTGACGGT